CCGAGGCTGGGTTTTCTCGACGCTCATGGCGGCGATCGAGATCGAATTTCGCAGGTCCCGACGAAGGCTGCAAGGCGGCGGACGCGTGTCTAGCAGAAACGACTCGCCAGTCTGATGGGCGAGACCAAGCATGTGGTGCCGGGGGGCGTGGGCGCAAAACGCCTGAAGTGCGAAAGATGCAGACCCTGGGTGCCGAAGTCGAAGGCGGAGTCGTGGCGGGCGAGCCCGTGCGAGGCGCTGGAGGCGAGGGTCGCGCCCCTGTTCGGCGCGCTGCAGGCTGCGCGGCCGCAGACCGGCAACCTGAACGCCCACGAGAGCCACAAGCTGGACTACCATAAGGAGCTGGGGCTGCGCTACTGCACGGTGCGCGGCTGCGTAGTGAGAGAGTCGATGAAGGATCTGGCCACGGAGTGCGGCAAGGGGGCGCCGCGGACGGACCAGCAGAACTTCATCGGGTTTGAGAAGGGCCTGTGGCCTGGCGGGTCGCGCTCCGCGATCGAATTCGGCAAGAAAAAGTTGGGGAAGTCACTTAGGGAGGGTGCGCCGCGCTGCCGTTTGTAGCGAAGCACGCGCTCGGCCGAACCTCGGCTTTTGGCGGCGCAGCCCCGTGCCAGAAAACCAACCATTAATCATCGTCAGCATCATCATCATCATCAGCGTCATCATCTTCATCATCCTCATCACTGTCGTCATCAGCATCATCATCATCGTCGTCATCATCAGCATCACCAACACCATCATCATCACCAATAACATTACCCCCTTCCACGGCTACCTGAGCCCCTTCGGGGGCGGACGTTGCAGGCCCATGGGCCGTAGTGCCCGCGGGGGCACCGCCCGCCGCCGGCCCCTCGTCTTCTGTCGCCGTTGTCGGTCGTCCTCCCCCCCCGCTCCGTCCACTCCAGTTCCCGCTGCTTCTGTCCGTCCTCACCCTCCTCCTTCTTCATCCCTTTCTTGTGTCCTTTTGTGTATCCTCCTCATCCGCCACCTCTTCCTTCTGCTCTCCTTCCTTTTCTCCGATGTCATTTTCCGACTGCGCACAACACGATGGGGCCTTGTTTGGAATTCCAGGTCCGCTATGACACGCGTTTGCGGACAACGAATTAGCTTGGCGAGAAACTTGGCAATTAGCAGCTGCGAGCTCCGCGAGGCAAGTGAGTAAAAGGAGAGGGGGCGAGCAACCAGACGGATTGGCACCCTATGGGGGCCTGAAGCACGCGGACCTTCCCGCTAGGGCCTTCGGTGGAGCCCTGTTCGGGGCCACGCAGCGTGTGACGGGTGTGCGGGTGCGGTGGTGGCATGCTGACTTTGCTCCTTGGGGCTTCGGTGGGGCCCTATATAGTGAGGGTTGTGCTGAAATGAATGCGGTGGTGGCATGCGGACCTTGCGGTGGAGCCTCCTGTGGGGCCACGCAGCGTGTGAGGGGTGTGCCGTATTGGGCGCGGTTTTGGCATTAGGACCTTCACACTGAGGTCTTCGGTGGAGTTCCATATATCATATCAAAGGGGGCACCAAACGAATGAAGGGTGTGTCGGATGGGGTGCGGTGGTGTCATGCGGACCCTGCCATTGGGGCATTCGTTGGAGCCCCCCCTGGGGCCACGGAGCGCGTGAAGGGTGTGCCGAGATGGGTACGGTGGTGGCATGCGGACCCTGCCACTGGGGCCTTCGATGGAGCTCCCTATGGGGCCACGAAGCGCTTGAAGAATGTGCCGAGATGGGTGCGGTGGTTGCACGCGGGCCTTTCCAATGGGGGCTTCGGTGGAGCTTCCTATGGGGCCACGAGACCTGTGATGGATGTGCCGAGATGGGTGCGGTGGTGGCATGTGGACCCTCCCACTAGGGCCTTCGGTGGAAGTTCCTTTGGGGCAACGAAACCTGTGAGGGGTGTGCTGAAATTAATGCGGTGGTGGCATGTGGGCCCTCACAATGGGGCCTTCGGTGGAGCCTCTTGTGGGGCCACAAGGCCTGTGTGGGATGTGCCGAGATGGGTGCAGTGGTTGCATGCGGTTCCACTGGGGCCTTCGGTGGAGCTCGCTACGGGTCCACGAAGCCTGTGAGGGGTGTGCCGAGATGGATGCGGCGGTGGCATGCGGGCCTCTCCGGAAAACCGGGGGGGGGTCACTACCGGTTCGAACCCCTCCCCCCTCCCCCCCCCCAGTTCATCATGAAAAGGGGGGGGGGTCACTACCGGTTCGAACCTCTCCCCCCCCCCCTCGAAAACCGGGGGGGGTCACTACCGGTTCGAACCCCCCCCCCTCGAAAACCGAGTGGGGGTGCGGACAGTGGTGGGGACGGTGTTGGTGGGGACAGTGGTGAGGGGACAGCGGGACAGTGGTGGGGACAGTGGGACAGTGGGACAGTGGTGGGGACGGTAGTGGTGGGGACAGTGGTGGGGACAATGGTGGGAACAGGGGGGGACAGTGGACAGTGGTGGTGACGGTGGTGGTGGGGACAGTGGTGTGGGGACAATGGGAATGAGGTGGAAACAGTGGGACAGTGGAGGGTACAATGGTGGTGGGGACAGTGGTGAAGGCGGTGGCGAGGACGGCGGTGGGACAATGGGACAGAGGTACAGTGGGGACAGTGGTGGGGACAGTGGGGACAGTGGTGGGAACAGTGGGGCAGCTCAGTGGGACAGCGGAGGAGTCAGTGGGACAGTGGGGATAGTCGGGCAGTGGTTGGGGCCGTGGAGACAGTGGGGAGAGTGGAACCGTGGTGGGAACAGTTCTGGGGACAGCGGGGACAGTGCGACAGTGGTGGGGGCACTGGTGGGGACAGTAGGGACGGTGGTGGAACCAGTGGGGACAGTGGTGGTGAGGACACTGGTGCTGGGAACAACAGTGGGGGATTTGATGCGGACGGTGGTAGGGACCGGGAGTCGTTTGCTGGCGGTGCGTGGGGGGGGGGGAGGGGGTCGAACCTGTAGTGGTCCCTCTCCGGTTTTCGAGGGGGGGGGGGGTTCGAACCGGTAGTGACCCCTCGGTTTTCCGGATTTTCGGATCCGGACGGGGGGGGGGGGGGGGAGGGGTTCGAAAACGGTAGGTAGTGACCCCCCCGGTTTTCGAGGGGGAGGGGGGGGGGGGGGGGGGAGGGGGTGAGGGGAGGGGGGGGGTTTTTGCCGGGGGAAGGGGGGGGGGAGGGGTTCCAGCAGGGGGGGAGGGATTTTCGGAGGGGGGGGGGGGGCGGACCCCCGGGTTCCGGAGGAAAAGGTTGGCAATTTTCCGCAGTAAAGCGGCGGTGGATCACGCTCTCTCCGATATTAAGATTATTATTATCAAGAATACGAATATCAACAATAACAATAATTAAACTAATATAATAATATTCAGAACAATATTATCAGCAGTAATACAACGAAAACCATTAATGATAGTACGAATAATACCATTCAGAAGATTACTACGAACAGTACTATTCGTATTAGTAATAATTGTACGACCAATATTATTAATACGAATAAGAATCGTAATGCTAAGACTACTACTACTACTACTACTACTACTACTACTACTACTACTACTACTACTACTACTACTACTACTACTACTACTACTACTACTACTACTACTACTACTACTACGACTACTACTTAACTACTACTACTACTATTTACTACTACTACTACTACTACCTACTGCTGACTACTACTACTACTACTACCACTACTACTACTACTACTACTACTACTACTACTACTACTACTACTACTACTACTACTACTACTACTACTACTACTACTACTACTACTACTACTACTACTACTACTACTACTACTACTACTACTACTACTACTACTACTAACTACTACTAACTACTACTACTACTACTACTTACTACTACTACTACTACTACTACTACTACCACTACTACTACTACTACTACTACTACTACTACTACTACTACTACTACTACTACTACTACTAATACTACTACTACTACTACTACTACTACTACTACTACTACTAATACTACTACTACTACTGCTGCTGCTGCTGCTGCTACTACTACTACTACTACCACTACTACGACGACTACTACTACTACGCCGCATACTACCAATACTAATAATGATGATGATACTGAACACATTAATAAGATTGTAATTCGACTAAGACGATTAATGATACGATTAAGAAAAAGATGAGGAGGAGGAGAAGGAGGAGGAGGAGGAGAAGGAAGCGGAGGAGGAGGAGCAGGAGTTGAGAGGAGTACGCAGGGTGCTGCGCTTATCAAAAGGAGACCTGACAGCACAGGACGGTTGGGATAGATCCGCACAGTGGGAAGAGATGGCTGGGAGGGGTCAGGAATGTCAGAGATGGCGCGAGTGCTCCTCGTTTGTCCCCCCCCTGTCTCTCTGCCCCGCCGACGATGTGATCCTGCCAGTGCGCCCGAGGGTCGCCGGGTCGCCCCTCTCTGGGCGAGGCCCCGCTGCCTCTCCGGGCGGCGTGCGGCTGCACGCCCAGCGCGCCCGCACGGCAGGCACACCCCGCCGCGGCTCTCCTGCGCAACCCCTTGGGGCACGCGGTGCAGGAGAGCGGCGCCGTGGAAGCCGCGCGGCGGCGCCACGCGCGGGTCCTTGGTCGTCGATGTGCAGATCTTTGCCGCGGGCTCGCCCGGCGGCCCGGCTCTGCTCCTGCACGGGCTGACGCTGCCGGTCTCTGGCATCCTCCGCGTGCGTGCCCGCTGCTGTATGGCTCTTCGGTGTGCGACTGCCCCGCCCAGCCCGCCCACCTGGGAACGTCAGGTGTACATGCGCCCAGTCGTGTCCCGGCTTGGCGCTTCGCGATGGTGCCGCCAGTGCGCTGCTGGAGGAACAAGTGGACGTGACAATGTTAGCCAGCGGGGTCCCCAGACAGTTAGCCAGTGCGCTGGAGGTGTGAACTGTGGTGCAAGCTATGCTTTGTAAGCTATGTTGCGTACGTTATAATATCCTCCCCAGCTCCCCAGCGAGGGCGCCCGATCGCGACTTCCCCGCTCGGTTGCCGGTTGGCCTCCGAGGTCGGAGCTGGAGCGCGAGAGGCTGGCCGAGAGGCGCGAGTGGGACGACAGGCTGCAAGGAGGGCCTTCTGTCTTCCTCCAGGAGCAGGAGGGGCGAGGAGGAGGATGAGGAGGAGAAGGACGAGGAGGGACGAGAAGGGAGGAGGGACGTTGGCATGTCAGATGGCAGGTCAGAAATCGAAGAAACGACGGCGTAGACGTACACTTTCAGAGCTCCACGCGGATTTCTTGGATCGGTGCTGGGCCCCCCCAGTGGCGCCTCCGGCGCCTCCCCTGGCACGCTCCGCGCACCAGAGGGGGGTCCAGCGCCAATCCAAGACAGTTGTGTGAACCTCCGAGCGTTTATGTCTATGCAGCTGTTGCTTCTCAAGACAGGGGCGCCGCCATCGGAGGTCAGCGCTCGCTAGTGATCTGGATCCTGCGGGGAGTTAGCGCCCTTCGGGGCGCCCAGGCCCCACACAAGTGGCACCGAACGTGCGTGGACGAGAAAGGAGGAGGAGAGGAGGAGGAGGGCAGAAGTGGAGGAGGAGGAGGAGGAGGAGGAGGAGGAGGAGGAGGAGGAGGAGGGAGGAGGAGGAGGAGGAGGAGGAGGAGGAGGAGGAGGAGGAGGAGGAGGAGGAGGAGGAGGAGGAGGAGGAGGAGGAGGAGGAGGGAGGAGGGCGGAGGAGGAGGAGGAGGAGGCTGTGGGGAGACGCCGCTGGACGGTCCGCGCCCCCAGCCAAGGCCGCCAGGCAGGACCAGACGGACGAGCAAGAGAGAAAGGCGCGCCGGGTCCACACTTTGGCCGCAGCCGGCGAAGAAGGACGGGCGCTCGGGGCAGCGCGGGGCACCCCGCTCGCCCCGCGCACCCGCAGCACGCTGGAGAAGGTGCGCGGCGCTTTCCCCCCTGCCCCGGCGGAGGGTGGCCCTGCCCAGCCTGGTGGCCCTCGCGGGTCCGCCCCTGACCCAGACCTTTGGGACGAGGTGCAAGAGGAGGTCAGCAAACTCCTCCGCAAGCCACCCCGGCTGACCGCTCAAGGCTTGCTCGGGGCCCGCCTGGAGCACCTCGCCACGGCGGCGGGCGACCCGGAGGCGCTCTCTTTGCTGTCCCAGGCGGTCACCAAGCTCACTTTCGGCGAGGTGCCGGCGCCGGTGCTCCAAGCCCTCCGGGTGGGCGAGGTGGTGGCCCTGGAAAAGGGGAACGGCGACGTCCGCCCGCTGCTCGTGGGGGCCAGCCTGAGGAGACTCGGGATGCGCGCGCTGGCCCGGGTCAAAAAAGGGAGGCTCCGGCAGGCGGCGGGCCCCCACCAGTACGGAGTCGGCCGGAAGTGCGGGACCGACCTGGTGGTCAAGCAGCTGCAGGCCCAGTCCGACGCTCACCCGGGGATGGTGTTCATCAAGGTGGACATCAAGGCGGCCTTCCAGCGCCTGCGGCGAGACCCAGCCATCCGGGCCATGGCTGTGCACGTGCCGGAGATCGCGTGGGTGCTTGACAAGTGGTACTCCGGGTCTGCCAAGCACCTCTGGCGGGACGCAGCGGGCAACTTCGAGGAAGTCGAGAGCACCCTCGGCTTTGACCAGGGGGACCCGCTGGCGCCAGCTGCCTTCTCGGTCGGCCAGAGGGCGGCGCTCTCCCAGCTGCTGGAGGAGCTCTCGCAGCAGGACCCAGACGTGAGACTCTACTCCTACTTGGACGACACCTACCTGGTGCTCCCAGCGGGGCTCGCCACGGCCGCCCTCCGCCGCCTGGGGGAGCTCCTGGAGCCCCTCGGGCTGGAGCTCAACGCCGCAAAGACGCAGGTATGGTCTCCGACTGGGCCGCAGGTTGTGCCCCCAGAGCTACGCGCGCACTTCGTGCCAGCACTCCCCGTGCTCGGTGCACGCCTGCGGGCGCGGGGCGACGTGGCCGACGCGCCCTTCGAGCTGGGCCAGAACAGCGGCCTTGAGCAGTCCGCTGGGCGCTTGACGCAGCTCTGGAACGCCCTCCGGCCGCTTGGGAAGCGCACGGTTGGCGAGCACGGCCTCTCGCTGCAGGCGACTGGGAGTTTGCTGCGCACCTACGCGGGCGCTGCGAGCCAGCACGTCCTGCGCGCGCAGCTGGCTGGCGAGGCGGAGGCGGCTCGCCACGACGCCACTCTGGCGGGCTACTGGGAGGAGCTCGCAGGGAGGCCCCTGGACGCCGCGGCGCGGGAGATCCTCGGCCTCCCCCTCAAGCTCTCTGGCGCGGGGCTGCAGTGGGCGACAACACGACGAGCCGCGGCCTTCTGGGCCGGCTGGACCGCCTGCGTGTCCAGCGTGGCCGCGGACCTTGGCACCGACTCCCTGCTCGAGCTCCTGGAGGCGGCGCCGCGACTCGGCGAAGCCCTCTCCGACGCGCGGACGGAGCTCTCCCTCCAGGGCGCGGACCCCGCCCCGGGCGCTTCCTTGCTGGACGCCCTGCAGCACCCGGCGAAGCAGAGCACTCTCGTGCAAGCTGTGCAAAAGAAGACCCACGCTTCCCTGAGGCAGCGTTTGCACAGCCACGAGCGGGCGACGCTCCTGGGGGCCGGAGGGCCAGGGGCCGCGGGGTTCCTCGGTTACCCGAGCGATCCCGCTTGCTCGCTGGAGGACGCGCTCTGGGCCACGGGGCTCCGTGCCCGCGCGCACTTGCCCAGGCCTGAATGCGCGCAGGCAGAGCTCCAGACGGCTGCGCAGTCCTGCCAGAACCGCCCTGCCGCCGAGGGAGCCCGCGGCGCGCCCTGCGGGCAGCCGCTGGACGAGCAAGGCACGCATGTGGAGCGCCGCCACGGCAGCCTCGAAAACGCGGTGGCCGGCCTGGTCCGCCGCTGGCTGCACCAGGAGCCGCTGACGGAGCAGCGGGTGCCGGCCTGGGGCCGCGTCCGCAACCGGCGGCCGGCAGACCCGCCAGACGCAGACCTCCTCGAACGCGCAATCCTGGACGTCGAGTACAGCGACGGGGCCAGCCGCCACTGGATCGATGTTTCGGTCCGCCACCCGGCAGCCGAGGACGTGGCGCAGGCGGCGGCGCGCAGGCCTGGCGAGGCCGCCCGGAGAGGCGAGCGCCAGAAACACGCCAGGTACCCGGGGGACAGACTGACGCCGTTCGTGGTGGAAACCCCGGGGCGCCTAGGCGGAGAAGCCCGACAGTGGCTTCTGCGGCAGGTGCGCACGCTGCCGGAGGACCAGCAGCCCGGCGAGTTGACGCGGGCCTACAAGGCCATCAGCTGCGCCGTGCAGGCTCAGCTGGCGCTGCAGCGCCGCCGAGCAGCCGGGCTGGCTTGACGCCGCGGGGAGCGGCTCGCCCAGGCGGCGGCGCCAGACTGACTACTGGCCGGGGCCAGGCCGCTAGCTGGAACTGGGCGCACACTGAGCGCGGCACGCCGGGCTACTGCCTCCTGCGCCGCCTTCTCCCCTCCTCCCCCTTCGCCTCTGCCTTCCCTCCTGCCTCCTCGCCTCTCCGCCCCAGCAGGGGGGCTCCAGCAGGGCAGCTTGTGGCCGGCTCCGAAGGGAGGCCAGGCGCTCGTGGCCGGCTCCGAGGGGAGCCCCGGCGTGGCGGCGAGACCCGGGACCCCAACCCCAATGCCCGGGGGTCCCCCTGTGTGACGGGGGTGGGGACCCACTCGGGTGCCCCCGGGCTGAAGAGGAGGAGGAGGAGGAGGAGGAGGAGGAGGAGGAGGAGGAGGAGGAGGAGGAGGAGGGAGGAGGAGGG